GTATAACGAATATATTGATAAGATCTCTTCTCCGTTCGCTGAGGATTCCGAAAGACTAAGGAAAAGTTTTTTTTTTTTTTTTTTTTGGTTTAACTCATATATGCTTTGTTAAGGTACAAGAACCTACATGGAGCGCTAGCTATGGCAAAAACAAAACCTTAATATCAAAAGCAACAAATAGTAACGAAATATTTCTCTGCCAACAATCCCCACCTGTAAGTAATACAACCCACTGCACCTGCCAGCACAACTGATCGCAAAAGAAAAGACAGGCCTCCTCCTGCACAGAGGAAGCACCAAGCATGAAAAGTCAATCAAAGCCAGGAAAGACAACAAAAAGAACTGCTGCTTCGATCTAAATCGAGGTTGGTACGGGGCGACACCTGTCCCCCACCTATTGCAGGAGGAAAATTGGTTCTGGTATCAGAAATATATCATGCCAGGCCCCATAAGAGGTCCTTATCAGCCCATAGAGGAGCCTCACAGGCCAAAGAATCTACCCCTGGGATATGGACCAGTCTCGAGGAGGCCTTAGAGGGACAGGGGAGGACAGCATGTTGCATGGTCTCTGGCTCAAGGCTGCAGGCAGAGGAAGTAGTCGGTTGGTCTGGCTCGTTCCAGGGGGTATGTGCTGCTAGATAGCTCTTTCCAGCTCTCCTTTGATGTATTCTTCTAGCCAGAAAGCGGTCCAGCCTTATGAAGGGGTGTGGGGCCTCCGGCGGAGGATAGGGATAGTATAGAGGGAGGGGTGGCTGCACTGTCCAATCCTGAGAAAGGAGGGACCGAGTAGCAGCTTTTAGGAGGGAGTACTTCTGTGAGGAGGAGAGATTGTTGACCGGCCCAGGGACCAGGTGCCTGTTCAGGCCCAGAAGAGTCCCCTTGGTGGTAATTCGAGCCAGAGAATGAGCTATGCTATCAATAGGAAGGTGGGATCGTACGGTTGGAGAGGGCCTGGGGTTCTTCTAGAGGAGGGGGTAGGCATTGCCCTTTAGCTCGATGGACAGGGCCCAGTTGGAGTCTGGGGCCCTTGTTGCTGATGTGGAGGGAAAGGACAAGGGGAGCCTGGCTGAGGCCGGGTTTATCTCGGGCAGTGAGTAGGCTATCCTTAAGGCCGCCATTCGGCGCTTGTAGGGATGAAGGACTACCAGAGGGGGGATGCTGGCCTTGCAAGGGAGGATCGAGGTAGGGGTAGAGTGGAAACAGTTGGTCACGCAGCGGAGGACTCGGTTCCAGAAGACCTCCATCTTGTGGAGTACAGAAGCGTTGGGTACCAGGAGATTGGCCCCATAGGAGAGGATAGGAAGGATGAGTCGCACAGCGAGCCTCCTATTGAGATAAGGAGGTAAGCCTTTGCCAGGGGCAGACAGTTGTCTTACGATAGCAAAAGCTCCCTGAGTGAGTACCAATCATTTTGCAAAGTGAGGAGAGGTCGCTAGGCTGGGAGTAAACTAGTAGTCAAGCCAGCGAACCAGGCCAACGGGGTGGAAGAGGGTACCATCCAGGGTGACTGGGATGTAGCAACAAGCCCAGTGGTCCCTTAAGGTCCTCCAATGGGACAGTTCAGTCTTGGGCATGGAGAAGGACATGCCTACAGCACCCGCCCTTCTCGTCAATGCCAGAAAATAATACTGCAAGTGCTGCACATTGCGCCTGTAAGAGGGAGAGGCTACCATAACAGTAAAATCATCAAGATAGGAAAACATAATCCCTGTGGGAATATCCAAATGAAGAGGAGACACATAGATGACAAACAAAAGAGGAGAGTTAGGAGACCCTTGTGGTACATCCACCTGAACTGGCGAGAACAGATTAGGAGACCCCGGAAGCAAAGACGATAATGTCTGTTAGAAGGGAAAGACTGGACCCAGGTGGAGATGTATGGCGGCACCCGGCTGGACTTCCTGAAAGTAGTAAGTAGTGTTGAATTAAGGTTGTCAAAACCCCCTTTGATGTCAAGGAAGAGCGACGAGGCTGGGAGCCCAGGCCTCTGAAGGGAGTAGATCTTGTGTGTGAAGGCGGCGCAGGCATCAGAGGTGCTGAGACTAGGGAGCAAGCCGCAATGGTTTGGGTTGATTAGACCACGAGAGCAGGCGACTATGGACAGGCAGGAGGCAACAATCCTCCCAAGGATTTTTGAAACGGGCTGGAGGAGGACGATTATGCGAAAGGAGGCAGGGAAGGAATAGTCTGGTTTTTCCAGCTTAGAGAGGACTACTCCCTTGGCCTTTTCGAGGGAGGGAGGGTGGAAGATGAAAGATCGCAAGGGTGAGAGAAGGTTAACGAGGAGGAAGGGATTAGCTATATGGACCTTGTTCTAGACCCTATAGGGGATCTGGTCCGGGCCTGGGGCTGACAAGTTTGATGACTTAGACAGGGCCCTTCACACCTCCGGGAAGAGAGAGGGGTGAGTCGCAAAACGGGCTGAGGATAGATGGGGTGGGAGTAGAAGTCTTGTGGGGGAAGAAGTAGCTAAGCAGAGCTGAATTGAGCTGTTCAGAGGAGGAGAGGCCAGGAAAGGAGTAGAAGCGGTCAGGGGTCCTTCCAGTGGCCAGCCTTTTGGCCGTCCAGATGGAGTGGAAGTCAACCTTGGCTAGGAAGTTCTTCCAGTACTCAGCCTTTATCTTCTTGATAGCCTTAAAGTAGAGGGAGTGGGCCTCGCGGGCCTTGACATTGAGTGTGGTTGAGGGGGAGAAGCAAGACCTCCTAGCAGCGACATTAAAAGCACGGCGCAGCCAGGTTAAAGGGGGGACCACCAAGGCTTGGACCTAAGGGATAGGCATTTTAGTGGGGCCGGGGCCAGGAGTAGGGCTGAAAGGACACCAAGGTTGTGATTGAACCAAAAGCTGAGGGCGGAAGCTGTGGGGTAGGAAGGCGGTGGTTGAACGTCGACCCCTTGCCGGGCCTCAAGTACTGGCGGCTAGTCTACCTTGTCGCAGTCTGGACTCGAAGGGGCCTAGTGCCTTAAGTGAGAGGAAAGTTTAATGAGAATAGTGATGTGGTCTGAGCCGGTAGAGGGGAGATGAGCCGACCAGGAATGCTGGAAAGAAGCCAAAAGCATATTGGCAAAGGCCAAGTCAAGAACACTGGACCTAGTTGCCAGTCGAAGGGGAACCTGGTGTAGATGCCAGGGGTATGGGGTAGGCTGTAGCCAGCCTCAAAGGCTGAATCAAAGTAGGGAGAGGACACCAGCAGATCCTGGTCTGAAAATAGCACAAAGGGTCAGAAAGGGGGTGGTGAAAGTTA